TCTATGCATTGCCGTCTACAATCCCCCTCCTCGCCCTTTTCAGAAGAGTCTCACTTTGACGGAGAAGCTTGCAAAGCTGGATTGGGCTGGGTATTTCTTCTTGGCCTCCGGCCTTGTATTGTTCTGTCTCGGTCTTTCATGGTCCAAAAACCCCTACGAATGGTCGGATCCCCACGTCTCTGCGACCTTCGCCGTGGGCGTTGCTCTCGCTCTGATGATGGTTGTCTACGAGACCTGGTTCAAGAAAGACGGCATGTTCCATCACGGTCTTTTCACCAAGAACCGCAACTTTTCCATCGTCATGTTTTGCGTGTTTGCGGAAGGAGTTGCTTTCTTTGCTGCCAACACCTACTTTGCCTTCCAGGTTAGCGTTCTCTACGAGACCGATGGGGTTCTCGTCGGCACCCGCTACGCTTTGATGTCTATCGCATCAATGATCGGCTCAGTTCTTTGCGGTTGGTATTGCGCCAAGACTCATCGCTTGCGTTGGGTGACTGTTGGCGCGTTCGTCATCTTCGTTGTCTTTTTCGCATGCATGGCGACCACCAACCAAGGCTCGAGCAACCCGGTCTGGTTCTACCCCGTCCTCCTTGGTTTCGCCCTCGGCATGACTCTGACGACTCTGATCACCGCCGCGCAGCTTTGCATCCCACCCGAGTTGATCGCCATCGCCAGTGGTCTCATCATCAGCGTTCGATCCCTTGGTGGCACAATTGGCATTGCCATTTACAACGTCATCTTCAATGACAGCATGAGCCACATGCCTGAGAACATCGCGAAGGCTGTGATCCCCTCCGGATTCAACCCGGAGAACTTGGGCATGCTCATCGGTGGTCTTACCGCTCACGACAACGAGATTCTCGGCAGTATTCCAGGCATCACGCCCACGATCATCGAGAAGGCAGCGAACGCTCTTCTCGGCACTTATGTGTCTTCGTTCCAGAAAGTCTGGATTGCTGCAGCTTGCTTTGTTGCTGTCGCTGTTATTGGTATGTCTATTGCCTCTGAATATCACTGTCATGGCCACTTGACTGACAATCATCCAGCTGCTGCTTTCCTTTTTGATCCCAAGAAGGAGTTTAACAACCACATTGATGCACCCCTCGAGAAGGAGGAGGCTAGCGTGTACAGTGTCAGCGCATAAAGCCAGCAGTCATTAGCACCTATGCAGCTTGACATGCTCGTGGATCGGGTTGTCAAAAGTCTTTTTCAAATTCCCATATACATATCCCTTAGAGTTAAAACATGTACATTATACATCTAATTCAGATCACAAACGTCCGCATTCATTCTCTTGAGCCTTTTTTGAGCTACTTTTGAGAATTTGGCGATTCTTGACTCTTACTTTGGTTTCACATTACATACCATCTTCGGCTCTTCTAAACAGCCAAGGCCTACTTCGAAGGCTTTCGCCACCCTGAACCACCATTCCGGCGCTCGACTTCACGTCCCAGCGGTAATGAGCACACCCTCTCCGAGCAACGCGTACCGAAAGATGTGTTGCAAAGTCGAGATAAGCATGTGTGCCAAGGTTAACGCCGGGTGTCCGCCCACACTCCACACACCGGTCAGAGTCGTTGGCGCTAGCACGGCAAGGGACCGGTCTGAACCCCTGCTTCTCGTACCGCTGTAGGGGTTCTCCGCCGGGCTCGTTCAGCCCGGATCCCCATCGCCGAACGGGAAGCTTGCGAAATTTTCGTCACTAAAAGCGAAGGTGGCAGAGGAGGATCGAACCAATCGCGGGTGATCCGTCAATGTGACGACAGGGGCAAAATGCTGTTGGAGCCGGGGTAAGATTCAACGCCAACTCCGGTCCCCACCGCGGGTACGTTGCTGGAGAATAAAAGTAATTGTTATCGTATGATGAAGGAGGTTGTCAACTTATTTCGTGGTAGTGGGATGCGGTTGGTTCCAGGGTGAAAGTTTTTGATATTTTGCCTAAAAGAGCCAGCGGCAGATTCAGTGCTAGTCGTCTACCTCCTGCGCCGTATGTTGCACCTTTCGCAGCGCCTGAACGCCTCGGCTATTGTGTTGATGCATGGAGAAAATGATGGCGTGGTTGTTACGTTTCTTTTTGGTTTCTCGTTTGGCATCGGGCTTCCTCGCTAAACTGTGACACGACGGATTTTTCTCCAGCAGGAAATTTCGAGTCACAATTTGCTACATGCCAACTCAAATATTTTCTGGAACCAAGATCAATGAATATTTTTCTTGCTCAATTGACTTTCTACAATTACCACTAGATACCTTTCTTAGCCAACATTCGGTCTTTATTCTCCAAGGTATATCAGTAAGATCAGCAACTAGTGAGATGGCTCTCAGTACCCAGAGATTCAGATCTGGTCCACTGATCGAAGCGCGAAATATGTAGGAGATCCACGCCAGTCTCCATGTGACAGCGCTTGTTCACATGTCGACATGGCCTAATCTCGCCAGCGTCAAGAAAATTCACCAGACCCTTGATCTCTCCCACCTGCATTACGGGGCTCACCCGTTGCAACATGCCTGCCCCTACTCTCTGTATGAATTCCAAACCCGCCACACTGTGTACGATGATTCACCCAACATCTTGAATCTGCGGGATGTGGGCTTGCAACACGGCGCAATAGTGCGGCGTTGAGTCTAGATGTGCGGATTGGAAAATTTCTCGAAGGACTTGGCGGCAGGCTGGTCCGGCTCCCTTGCCACATGAAGCGTGTGATAACCGCTGGGTCGATGTTCCAAGTTCAGCACCATCTCCAACCGAGTCAATTAAACTTTGTAAGATGAAGTGATGGATCAGGGGCCGCAATAGGCAAAACCAGTTCCGGTAGGATGCATACGAGATGCTACTGAAGAACACATCCCGCGGCCCCCATTATCAGGGGCAGTGTAACTGAAAGCTGCATGTTCGTGGAGAAGGAGAATGCTTTTCCCACAGTGATAGTGCGCCGGTGCCAGAATTGCACTGCTGCGTTATCTGGTGTACATGACGCGGCCGGATTGCCCCTGCTTTTTACATTGGAGGTTCTGCTGTCTTCCCCGGTTCCTGGTTTGTTTGCTTTCTACTTGATTCCGAAGTTTGCCTGTCATCATTCTGTGGAGATGTTGGCACTTGTCTGTTCATACGTGCTGCAACTGTTGTAATCGAAGACCGGCCGTGGAAGATATCTTCGAACCCTGCGGGAGTTGGCTCAAGATGTGGGACGTTGGAGGCGTGCCGATTGTGCCTCGAAATTATGGCCTAGTCTTTTCGTCGTTCTTCTTCACGACCATGGCGGCCTTGGTGGTTGGGATGAGGACATACACGCGCGCTTTTCTCGTCAAGAACGTTGGGGCTGACGATATTTTGATGATAGTCGCTTTTGTGAGTCCTCACTTCGCAGAACTTCCAGGATTCTGGCCCGGCTCAGAGCTAACGCCAGCACAAAGATCGGTACTATCGGTTATCTGGTAACAATCGTTCAGCGTAAGTATTGTCAGCCTCGATGGCCATCATGATATGGCTAACTCATGTTCTGCAGAAATCAATTGGGGACTTGGCGACGCTATCGGCCTCGAGGAACTGGTCGAATTCCTTCGAGCTCTCTATGCGACCGTAGTGTTGTACAACTTCACCCAGCTCTGCGTCAAGTTCTCGATCCTCTTTCAATATCGCCGAATCTTTCGAACCGACGGAGCCAAGAGAATTATCACCGGGCTAATTGCATGGCTCGGCGCGTATGCGATGTTCTGTCTGGGCACAACAATTTTCACTTGCTGGCCCGTGGCAAAATACTGGGATGACTCAATTGAGGGAGGTTGCATCGAGCGTTCAGTCCTGAACTACGCCATTGCTGGGTTCAATATTCTCAACGACCTCATCATCCTCTTCATACCAATCCCGTGGCTCAAGAATCTGCAAGTGACTTTCCGGGCGAAGCTTGTGCTTATCGGAGTCTTTACTTGCGGTGCCTTGTGAGTTATCCGTCGTGACCATGAATGTTGAATATGGGTTGGCTAACACATATCTGACAGCGCTGCCATTGTGGCCATCGTGAGGCTTCATTCGTTGTATGTGCACGGCTCAGCGCCTATTGATCAACAACCACGTAAGTCTTCCTCTCGTTTATCCATTACTATGACAAACCCCTAACAGTCTGTAGTCGTTGGCGTAGACATTGCCGTCTGGTCTGGTCTTGAGATCAACATCGCCATTATTTGCGCATCAGTGCCTGCACTCAAGGCTCTTTTCATCAAGATCATCCCGAAGCTTGGGACATACAAGAAGTATTCGAAGAATCCCTACGGACGTAGCACCACTGGAAACCTTCCTCTTCGAAGCTTCGACAAGCGAACAGGGAACTTCTCGCAGAGCGGAAAAGATGGTACAAAGATGGAGATCCAAGTTCACAGATCGATCGAGATGAACGTCATGCCAGCGGAAGATGACGATAGCCAAAAAGACCTCGTCACCAACGGTTGGGCGGCAGGCTGTTATGCTCATGGTCAGCAGCCTGACGACGCGGAAGCTCGAGCTGGGACTGGTCCTGGTGACCGCCGGAGTAACATTAGAGCCAATTCGAGGTGATGATACTGTAGACAACCTCCATTATAATAGAGAACGCAAGACCAAGGAAAGCTAGCGAGTCACGAAAGCTTATGATTGGATGTAGGATTTGAAGTATGTGTGTAACAACAGCCAGACGACTCGACCCCCACGTTTTGCTCAACTCTCGTTTCTCTTAAGCCTCGTGCTTTTAGACCCCGGTGCGCTTGTCCGGCAGCCTTAACGGGCGGCAAAGAGCCCAGTCATGATCCACGCGAAAAATACTTGAGGTCAGCCCCCTGATGATGCTAGATCCAGGCCCGGGCAATGTTCAAGGTTTGCGTGGAATACCCCGCCTATTTTCTGAATGGCTCAACATTGTTCGTCCATGGTGAATGCATTCCTGATACGGCCGACACCAGCCGCATACGCCTCGTACGCGGCGATACTATGAGCCCAGACCCCGCCGGTTGATGGTCAGCCAAGCAGTCAGTCAACTCGGATCCTCCCGTTTGGAATCCTTGATCATCGAGTTATGCTTTGTGGAGTAATTCCAATCACTCGAGTACAAAGTTGCGCCCAACTTGCGCATCCTAGCGCAGTGATGGTCTTCGTCGACTGGATCTTCAGCTCGTGGGTTGGTGCCGAAGCCGCTGAGGCCGAGGAATTCAAGTTCCACGCCGTCGCAGGCCATCAGGTAGAAACCGCCAGTGCTGGGCACTATTGTGCAAGAGGATGCTGACCCGAAATCGATGCGGAAGGTACCCCTTTCCAACAAGGGATGCATCCTGGACTCATCAAAACAACCGCATTCTTCGTCGTCGTCATCCAAGAAGGTCGGTTGGCTTGCTGTCGTAGAGAAAGGCCGAAACATCTGTCCTGCAAAGAAGATGGCGACTGCGAAGAGGACAGAACCCAAAAAGATCATATCGAATGGCTGAACTCTTTGAGCGCATTCACATGCGTTGCAGCTGAAAATATAGGAGGGTTGGTGGGTGATTTACCATCCACAGAGAGGTTGTTGGTCTTTCAAAAGCTATAACTTTGCACCCTTGCTCATATCAGTTAAGTCTTACGAGGTGCCTGAAGGACATCATCTTTAAGGCATTAATCTAGTTTTCTCCTGATATCGCTTCTACCTACGTGGTGATATTCCCAACTTCTCGGTGAATGATTCATATTCTTCCCGCACACCAGGCAGCCGACAGCGGAGCACTGGAACTTCGGATGTCAGCGCCGACGGACTAGAGGCCGAAGTGGGGCCGGCAGGTTCGTCCACAGTTGGTTCATGGTTGCAGCTATGAATCTGACTCACATTTCGGTGCTCTCACTTTCACGATCACAGAATCTCACTTCGAATTCAAATCTTTGATACCTCCTCTCACTTACCGCACATCAATTGGAGTTGAATTGCGTCATCCAGCAAGCATGGCGACCACCTCCGTTCCGTCGACCCCGCACCCGCGCCTGGGGTGGATAGGTATGTCCCTTCGACCGCTGATGAGGCATCAACTTAGACACCCGGTGCGACGAGACGGTTGTGACTGATTCCTGACTTACTGTAGGCCTCGGATCCATGGGCATTGGCATGGCCGTCAATTTGCAGAAGCACCTGGCACAAAATGGCGCACCAAATCTACAGTACCACAATCGCACGATGTCTCGAGGTGAGACGCTTGAGACTATCGGAGGCATACCGCGGCCAGAAATCAAACATCTCTTGGCCAACTCGGACATAATTTTCATGTCCCTCAGCGACGATGCCGCTCTTGAGTCGATGCTGGATGCCATCCTTGGAAACGTCGCACCCGAAGATTTGGCCGAGAAGATTATCGTTGACACATCGACGGTTCACCCTCTTTCATCAGCCAAAGCCCGAGACCGTCTGTTAGAAAAGAAGGCCAAGTTCATTGCGGCCCCGGTCTTCGGTGCAAGTCCTGTTGCTGCGGAGGGGAAGTTGCTCTGGATTGTTGCGGGTCCGAATGAGGCAGTCGACGCCATCAACCCGTTCATCGTTGGAGTGATGGGGCGAGGAGTGATTCGTCTCGGAGAGGACGTTCAAAAGTCTAGCATGATGAAGACAGCTGGGTAAGTGAATGATCTTTCGAGAAGGCGTGCCATGCTGATGTTCCTAGTAATTTCGTTACCGCCGGGATGATGGAGCTTGTCGCAGAGGCCCATGTCTTTGCGGAGAAGACGGGCCTTGGTAGCGAGGCTATGGAAGCTCTGATAGAGCAGCAATATGGCCCTCTCGCACTGTCAATGTCGAAACGCCTGACCACCGGCGCTTATCTCCCCGGAAAGGGCCAAAGACCGTGGTCCGACCTTGGTCTCGCATTGAAGGATGTTGGACACGGGATCGACTGTGCTGAGAAGTCTGGCGCTCGGCTAGAAGTCGCTGAGGTTGCACTGAAACACTTGAAGGAAGCGAAAGAATTCTCAGATGCACAGGGGCGGCCATTGGATTCGTCGTCGATGTATGGAGTCTTGCGCAAGGAAGCTGGTTTATCGTTCGAGACGGACTTTGTCAAGAAAAGAGACGAGTATCGATCTGAAGCTTGAGCTACATCAGCAGTCAATATTGTGAAGTAAAATGGAACGAACTGCTTGAAATGTGCGGAGGGTGCATCAGTATATGTTTGATAGCTTGTCGTCATGTAGTCTGACCGGGATAAGACAATCATCATAAGAGAATATGCAAAGAGAGTTTATTCGTACGGACTTACCGATGCATACATTCTCATGGATGATTCCATTGTGCCTTCTGAAAATATATAGCGTTAGCCTCGTCACTCTGAAAGTGAAAAGAATCAGTAGCATGGATCCGGCAAACGATGACTTCAGGCGATGTCGACTATTCAGGGTCTTCATAGCCTCAAATTGTGAGGAACTCCGTTCGGCAAAACTTCTTTCATCATACAGTCAAATGTCGTTGGGAAGTGGGCTATAGATATGAATTGTTACTTACCTCGATGTTTTGTAACTTCGCTGGAGTATTCTTGCACGGACGATGGCAAAATTGATTTCTCAATGGTTGTCGACATATACGTGTCGGAATAGATTGCAGAGAGAGTTGATTTGGGGGTGATGATGCTTCATATAAGGTAAAACACACGACATCACGGGCGCGAAGTTCAAAATGATGGCCATAAGGGCGACAGCAATGATTACCTACTGGCAATGAGTCTTGCTTCGTCAATAGTGAGTCATTGGAACTAAGTGCTGAATCGTTCGCCGAACCAGGCAAATTCAAAGTTCTATCCGGGATTGTCGGTTATGAGAGTCAATGAGCGAGGATGAATCATTATGATGCTCCATCTTGTGGGCCTTCAGCCACGCAACCTAGCCTCTGATTTCTCGCTAACATGTCATCCCAAATGAAACACAGAATGAGAAATGCGATTGATCATTTCATACCTCAAGTTGCACCTAATCACTATGTGGCTGTTTCAGTATGAAATGGTGGATGACAGCATCTTCCTAGAGTCTTTCATTGTACATCCATCGGTCGTTTGTGCTAAGCACAATGCCAGAGACATAATGAAGGTCTATCTAAACTCATTTGAATCTCTGAGACAATGATCTTTCAGCTTGTCGGCGCTCATCAGCCACTTTTTCCTGGCTCCCATCTGGGCCCCACGCCTCCTGCCTCGTGTTTCTCACATCAATCCCATAACCTTCAGCGTTCTGAGGAACGCCGTCAATATCCAACGCCCCAGCAGCATTGGCCCTGGAAAAGATAACACCCGGCATAACAGGGTAGATTCCTTCTGCCACCTTGGTCTTCGGGACAAGCACGTTGAACCATCGTGGCATGACAAGGCCCACCAGCGTGGCTGCCAGCACAACGTGCATGAACGTAAAACCGGCGATGTGAAGCGGATCCGTGCGGTTCGTGGCATAGAAGTTGGGATAAGCGAAGGAGAAAATTATTGAGACAATGGGGGCGGTGTTGTACTTGAGGACGAAGCCCCAGATGGCAGGTATCTTCCACTGTCCACTGGTCGAAATCGTCCCATTGAGGTCGCGTCGAAGTTGATTTCCCTTGAAAGCGGTGATATTAGCCATTGACGGAAAAGAAATTAGCATGGAGAATAGCTCCTACCGAATACGAAGTCAAGTACCAGAACTTGCGCATCATTGGGTTCTTGTTGAAGAACTTCGGGCAATACGCCGTGGGGTTAGAGGCGAACAGAATTGAGGATGCCATCCCAGCAATGAACATGCCAAAGCCAACACCAGCGCCCGCTTCTGGCGAAACGGAGTGCGCCACAATGAGCCCGATCACAGTGCCTCCGATGTAACCAAATATGTTGTAAAGGCACCATGAGATAAGGCCACACTGGTCCACTACATCCCGGTATCGGTACAGAGTCGTCGCGCACACTGCCTCACACCAGACTATCCAGAAAAGTGCCAAATAGTTGATCCAGGTATCGGCAGCGTCAACCAGGAAGTACCCAAACTCAGTGCAAAATGGAAGGGAGATGAGAAAAGAAGCGATTACGATGCCTGTCGAAACATACGGGCGAGGATATTTCTTGCCCCAGTCAGTGTCGCAAACCATAGTAACGAGGGTCTCGAGTAGTGCGAATGCGGATCCCAGGCCAAGGATGAACAGAGTAGCGAAGAACAGGACGCCCCAGAAGTTGGCTCCTGGCATCTCCGCAATCGCCTCGGGATATGTCAGAAATCCGACGACAAATGTGTTCAGTCTCTCACTGGTGTCCGGATGCATTCCGAGGTATCCGACAACACCAAAAACTGACATGGAGCCGATGATCTCGATCAAAGAGTTCGAGATACAGATGATGAGTGCGTCCTGGACCGCGTTGGAGTACTTCTGGTTGTATGACGCGAATGAAGTATAATAGCCCATGCCAATGCCGGTCGAAAAGAAGACTTGACCACAAGCCTCTTGCCAGATCGTTCCTGAAGCGAGCTTGTTCCCGTGCCATTCGGTCCAGTAAATGCGGATGCCATCGATGGCATTGGGGAGAGAGCAGCCTCGCCCAATCAAGACGATCATGAGAATGATCGGCAGAGCCATTGTGAAGTATACCACACGACCCATAAGGCCAACGCCCTTGTACATGCAAAGCCACACGATGAACCACGTGAACAGGTTCCATAAGGTAACTTCGGTGTTCATAGCCATACCTGGGTAATCTGAGTAGTCCTGAACGGCGGATCCATCGGCAGTGAGGTTGCCCGGGATAGGGTCCACGTTCTGGAGAACGTCGCCGTAAAAGAAGTCTTCATTGCGTCCTTCCCAGGGTAAAGGGCTGGTGAAAGAGTGACGGAAATAGGACATGATCCATGCTATGATGGGAACGTAGTAAATGCAGATGGCGTAACCGATGTAAACAACGCCAAACCCGACACCTTTCGCTCGACGATGAGCATGGTGCCAAGCCAAGACACATCCACCTCGGTATGCCTGGCCAATGGAAATTTCCAGGAGTAAGGTAGGGATCGCGAGGCAAAACAGAGATATCAAATATGGGATGAAGAATTGTAGGCCGTGGTTGTTGTAGACAATCGATGGGAAGCGAAGAAGGTTTCCCAGTCCAACTGCGCCGCCCATTGCCGCAAAGATGAAGGATAAACGCGAGCCCCAGACGTCGCGGCCATCTTCGCCCTTGTTGGCGGCAGGGGCGAGGAAGTTGTAAATTCTTGATGCGATGTTGACCATGGTTGAGACTCCGTGGGTGACTTTCAAGGAGCGTTCTTACGCAGTGGACGTCATGCAAGTTGGGTCTGGTCTGGCTCAGATTAAATCTTGGCAGGACAGGATAGAGGCAATGCTAGAAGATAACTACGGCCGTCGGAAAGCAAGAACGGAGGGAATGAGTTGTGATTGAGACTGGCACAAACATTTATCTTCTTTGTGTTAGAGCCAAGATTGAAACCCATCAGCGATCATCC